TTTTCTCCACATTGCCCTCACCACACAATCTACCAGCATCAATCTTTGTCTGTGTCCCCTCCCCTACCCCATCACCTGCCCATAGTCAGCCCTGGTACCTAGGCTTGTCTACCTGCCATGGGGCATATGCTTTGTCACTCAGACTTGGGGAAATGTGTGGCAGAACTTTAAGGCACACAGCGTACCTTCTCTCTCTGTTAGGCACATGTTAGATTCTCACTTCATGTCCGCCTATGAAGGCCTGGCAACACACAGGCAGGGCTGGGGTGCTCAGAGGAAGTGAAAACCCCTGGGCTGGGCTGAGGACTTCCTGGAGGAAGCATCTGGGAGGACCCTCCATGTGTCAGTCCTAAGACAGCAACTGAGGACAGGAAGTCCCCAGCCCAGCCTGACGGGCATCAGAGCAAACTATCAGAGAGCCACCCGAGTCCGCAAGGAGGGAGATTCAGTGGCCAGGGCCCAGCACAGGGCCACTGGAGGGGTCGGCAGTGCATTCAAGGAAGGTTTCCTGAAGAGGGGGTACTTCTGGCTGGTTAGCGGCAGGGAAGAAGGTGGAGATGAATCAGGATGGAGAAAGTGGAGAGAGACAGAGATGTGGAAGAGAAAGCTCTGTCCCTTCTCGTCCTTCACCCCTGAGAGAAACGGGAGGGGGGAGGGGGACAAGCAGGAGGAGCAAAGAAGGCCGAGTCCGAATGGAAACACCATATCAGTGCCGACACCATGATCAGGGCGGGCAGGGATGGCAGAGGCTGGCAGGGAGTAGGTCCCCAGCTGTGGCTGGGAAACGTTTCCTGTCTCCTAGCCAGAGGGGTCATTAATAATCATTTACCCGCCACAGGCAGCACAGAAGCCAGCCAGGGAGCAGCATGGTGCTGGGGCCAGAGCCCAGCCTGGTAGCCAAGAGAGCTGTATTCTGAGACCAGCCCTGATACTTTGCTGTGAAACTTGGACAAGTCACCTGACCTCTCTTGGTCTCTGGTAAGGCTGGTAAAAGGAGGGTCTAAAGTGGAGGCTGCCTAAAGTTCCCCCATTCTAGTCTGGGCCTCAGTTTCCTTAGATGGCAGTTGGGCTGCCAACTCTACAGGGGGTTACAGACATCTGATGATTGATGGGAACATCTGGATTATGGCAAGTCCAGCTCAGGACACCTGGGATGGGCAGAGTCGATCCAGTGTCTTATGAGGCAGCCTTAGAGAGCCAAGTGCACATGAGGCTGGGGGAAACATAAGGGAGAGCCATCTGCCCAAGGCCTGGGAGCTGAGAGTGTGGCTGGGCCAGGACGATGGGATTTCTCAGACATGGAAGGAAGAGCCTCATGAGGCCTGTTTTGTAACTGCTCTGACCCTAGCACTTAAAAGTATGCCTGACTGGTATATAGCAGGTACTTGATAAATGCGTTTAGACAAATGAATGAGTTAATCTGTTAAATGAGACATTTGTGGAAGGAGCTTGGGATTTGGAAAGAGCTGCCTAAAAGATGATGATGATGACAGTGACGATGATTCTGGCGAAAGACAACGGGATGGGCAAAAAGCTTGGATGTGAAAGCTTGAGAAGGCTGGAGGCCCAGGGATGGCCATCCAAAGCCACATAGTATTGCTTGGAAAGGATCAGCTGCCTTCAAGATCTGTTCCCAGCTGGGTCAGAATCTTCCTCAGCCCCCGGCCATATTTATCTGTTCACCCAATACCCCCTTCAAGGCCTAGGTCAAGCCTACTCACTTCAAAGAACCTTCCGAAGGGCCCCCTGGCCCCTTCCCGACTGACTCTGATAGTCTCTGTGCCTTCCAGCCGTAGGCATGCTCTCCAGTACCTGTTGGCAGACTGCCCACTAAGGTTTCCTCATAGCTTTCTCTGGAGGGTATGACCTGGATTCTCCTACTGACTGGATCTCTCCCGTCAGACTAGAGGGTCCCCAAAGGGGTGACCAGGTTCCCTTTTTCAGATAAGCATCTCTGTGAGGACAGGGACTATTCCCCCCATCAGATGTGGGGTCAACAAAAGTGGAAACAGACTGAGGTCTTCCTGGTCGTCTCCCAGCCCAGGGACTCTCCCTGGGGGCCACACAGAGGAGGGAAGAAGACAGGCCAGCAATGCAGAAGGGGGTGTTTGGCTGCTCAGCACCCCAGAGATGATGTGGCACTGGGCCACCCAGGGGAATAAGACCTCATGGTTGGCAGACTCGTCCAACTTCAAGCCTGGCCCAAGGTGCTCTTGCACCAAGGAAGTGCCACTGGGAGTACCACCCAGGCCTCACTGCCTGTGCCTGAATGCGTCCTCTCTGTGGAACGCTGTGACATGGTAGTAAACACAGTGACCCTGCGACAAATGCATCCTCTCTCCACCCCCTCCAAATCCTGGCCCAAAACATGAGACAGGCTAAGAGGAAAAGAACAAAGGTTCCCGGACTGCGACATCGCCCAACGCCTGCCTGTCCAGCGCCTGCTCAGCCGGAAACCCAAGACAAAGGCCTTGGTCAAAGCAAGGAGGATGAAGGGCAAAGGGTAGACGCAGCCTGGCCTGGGGGAGCCATTCGAGAACGTCACTGGGCATCTCTGGAGACTTAATCAGGAGGGAAGTGAGGACAGGATGGCAGCCTAGCCCTCCCTGTACACACACACGTCACTCTACAAACATTTATGGGACACCTGCTGGATGTCACACACCCCAAACACTACATACCTCATTCCTCACCCCACATACCTTATGCACACACTCCCTTACCCCCTGCAGTAAATTCCACAGCCCGCAACACCCCCCGACAACCCTTATCTTCCTGGACACCCCACACACTCCTCACCACACTCGTAAACAGCTCACCAGGAGAAAAGATCACATAATTGACACATCACACCAAAAAGTCACACAGCTCACACACCCACACTTCACATCACACTCACACTCAACCTCCCATCACACACCTCACACGCCCCAGACTCACCTCTCCAACCACAGACACACACATCCAATTAAATTCAACACACACATCACCCAGACATAGTGACACACCCTGCATAGATAATGTGCACACCTAATGCCACACACATTTGTGGACACAGCCCTTCAGCATAGACAATCCTGCTTGCACACTGCTTCCCTCCCATGCGCACACGGGCACACATGTGCATGCACACTTAGTCAGCCACTCCTTGCCTTGGGCTCCTTGGCCCTGGCTGTTGCACTCTTTCCTTCCCAGAGTTGCTCAAACAGCCACCACACAGACACGTGACCCTTAAACACCAACACACAGGTCCTAATCTATTTCCCAAGCAAGCCCAGCTCATACACAGTGACTTTAAGCCAGTCACCTAGGCTGCAAACACGCTCAGGCACACACAGTTCCCCCCACCCCAACTCCCCTCTGCCAAGACACCAAATGAAACCTTTCTTCAGGCCCATACAGTGGCTATTCGTGGCTACACACAAAAATAACATACAGAACCACACAAGCAATCCCCACATACAAGCTGCCCCTACAACAACTCCACCCCACGATAACAGACACACAATCACATACACAGAAGTTCCCTATGCACACAGTCATATATACAGCTGGCACTCTACACCCACAACACAGCCTCCCTAGCCACACACAGCATGCAGTGCCATACACTCACAATCCTCACACTCACCATAAGCCCCTAAGAATCCCTCCAAATAATCCCACTCAGAGTGACACACAATACTACATGACACAACACACATGATCACACACAAGGCACACCCAACACATGCAACCCAGCCTGTACAACACGAACATGTACTCCAGATTCACCCAGCCCTGAACACCTCTCACCACAGGTGACTGACACCGTGCAGCCTGCTCCTCCATTCCCCCTACCCACACCCCCAACTGCCCCCAATCAAGACCAGGACAGCAGGGATGAGAGGGTTTATACATTATGAACCCCAACGCCCCACTGCATCACTCCACCCACCTTAGATCCCTGAGCACCACCCAAGGGCTGCGTGTGCCATGGTTAGTCCCTAACCAGCGCCCATACCATGCCATGCCTGACAACATGGGAGGGATGGAGGTCCTAGGGACACCCACTCTGAGCCTGTCCCCTCCTCACCCAAAATCAGAGGCAGGTATAAGGAGAAGGGATGACCACAGGGAGAGACCCTAGAACACAGATAGAGACCTAGAGAAATTGAGGGGGGGGGGGTGACGGACAGACCAAGAGAGCTAGGCACATGGGCAAAAGAGACCAAACAAGACAGAAACAGAGAGCAGACACCCAGGAAGACTCGGAGAAGCCAGAGGAGAAACCAGAGAATAAGGTGGGACCACCACACCCAGAGAGAAACAAGAGGAGAGGGTGAGATGAGCTGGAAAAGACTAGGGGACATTCTATACAGGAAGAAGGGAGGGAAAGCAGGGAGGGTAGGAGGGGGGTCCTGCAGAGGAGAGAGAAACCGTTTAGACCTTGCGGTAGGGTCCTAGACAAGGACTGAAGTCCAGATGTTTGCGTGTGAATCTGGGCAAGGGCAAAAATAAGACTGTGGAGTAATCCCCAGCTCTGAAGTGGGGGGTCCTGGCTGAGAGTTGGGGGCTCAGTTGTGTTCTGGATATGCCTGGAGTCTGATATATATATCCTCTTATATATATATAATAGTGCCGGTTTGGGCAGGGGTCCTCCCCTAATCTGGGAGGCAGGGGGTTCGAGACTCGAAGAGAGCTCTTGGTGTAGACTGGGGTCCCACCGTGAGAGTTCAGTGCTTGGGGTGGAGTCCAGGATCAGCACGGGGTCAGAGTCTAGGGTAAGGTTTGGACTGTGGGCTGGTGCTTCAAGGGCTCCAGGGATGGGCTGCAGTCGGCACAGGAGTGGGATTCAGAACTGGGGGAGGGGTCCCCACTCTGGGAGGGGTCCCCACCCCGAGGAGGGCTCAGGGACAGGGTGGACCATGGAGATGGCGACTGCACGCTCTGCGGAGGACCCGGCCCGGCTCTGCTAGACACCCGCTTCTCCTCGTGCCCAGCACCGGGGGCCCCCCTACCTGCAGGCTGTCGGCGCATGGCGGCGGCGGCGGCTCGTCCGGCTTGAGGAAGACCTGCTGGCCCCGCCTGAGAAATTGGACAACAGCGATGAGGATGTGGTGCAGCACCAGTACCATACTCGCAGCCGCCCGCCCGCCCGCCTGTCGGGCCGCCGCTGCGCTCGGTCAGCGCGTCCGCGACAGCTTCGCGGGGTCCGCGCGACTGTCCGCCTCGGCCCCGCCTTGGACCGCCCAGTCCCCGCCCCACGACCGCCCCAGCCCCGCCTCCCTTCGCGCAACCCTGGACAGCACCTCTCCGCAGGTCGGATCTTCGGACCCCCACCAGAACCCCTACCAGCTCTCACCTCCTTTACATCTCTGCTCTCAAGTCTCCCAGCTCGTCCGCTATTAGGATCCCGCCAGGTAGCCGGCACCCAGCCTTCGCTCCCTTCTCGTGCCCCCTTATCATTCCTTTCACTACCTCGCCGGGATCACCTCTCGGAGCCCCTCTCCTGTCTGATCATATCCTCTCCCCCCACCACTTAGAAAAGTCCTGGAGCCAGGCCAGAGACCCAAAGCCGAGACCAGCGCAGTGAGTGGGGGCTGCGGGGGTAAAATAGGGGGGAAGGAGCCGCTGATACAATACAAGGAGCCCTGGGCTTGCTCCTCTTCCCGGAAAAAGGGGGGGGGGAAATCAGGGAGAATTTTAGAGGCCGCTCCGAGACTGACAGGCCCCGGGAGCAGTAGCAAATCTGTGAGGGAGACACGTGCGCACACACGGACAGGCGCACCACTTCTGAGTGGGGGATCGGAACACCGGGAACCCAGCACCGGGCAGGCAGGCCTGCGTTGGCGTCCTCGCAAGCCGGAGACGGTGCTGGCCCCAGGGCCACACAGTCCATACATAGTTCGCGGTGGGACCCCCGCGTCCGAAGCGCAGTTCTCCGCAGAGCGGCCTCTGCGCTCAAGCGCCTGCGGCAGCCGTGACGCTCCTGCGCCCCCTGCTGTCCCACTGCGGCGGTGCATCCCGGCCCTATTCGTGGTCGGCCTGGCGGGGCGGGGCGGGGCGGGGGAGGGGGTAGGAAGGGGTCACCTGGGTCAGCTCCCTGCCGGGATCCACCCAATTCCTAGCCTCCACTTGGCAGATGGGCTGCGGCGGTGGGACGTGTCTGGACTCCAGGGTGAGCATGGCCTTTGCCAACGACTTGCTGTATGACCTTGGTCAGATCGCCTCCACGTTTCTGGGCCTCAGTTTTCCCATCTCTTTCACAAGACTGCCAAAAGAGTCAACGCTGGAAGGCAGCCAGAGTCCTGACAGCCCTTGCTGTGGTCTGACCTGAATCCTTCCCACTACACTGCGGGCCCCTCTCTCTGCAACTCTCCCTTCCCCCTTTGAAGGGTGACTCAGTGAGCCCCCAGCCTCCCAGACTCCTCACCTCAATGGGCTGATTCATCTGGGCCCTTTCTCCTTGGGGAATGATTCCCTCAATGTTGAATCACTAAGCCCGGTACTGGACACAGTCCAGGCACCTGGTACACAAGCTGTGCCACCAGCCCAGGGGGTGGCCCTCCATGCCAGGATTACTCCCACCTCTCTTTCTGAGGCCCAGCTCTGGACATGCTTCTTGTCCTGCTCAAAAACCTTCAGTTACTCCCTACCACCAGCACAATAAAGCCAAACCCCTCAACCTGACATGGCAGACCCTCTATAACAGTGGGTCTCAACCTTCCTAATGCCGCGACCCCTTAATACAGTTCCTCATGTTGTGGTGACCCCCAACCATAAAATTATTTTCGTTGCTACTCTATAACTGTAATTTTGCTACTGTTATGAATTGTAATGTAAATATCTGATATGCAGGATGTATTTTCATTGTTACAAATTGAACATAATTAAAGCACAGTGATTAATCACAAAAACAATATGTAATTATATATTGTGAAGTATTTATTTCTAATTATAAATAAATGAAATTTTGTCTTGAAGCATGGAGACGGATGGAAGAGCAGTGTCTCAGTTCCTAAGACCATCGAAAATATGTGTTTTCTGATGGTCTTAGGCGACCCCTGTGAAAGGGTTGTTCGACCCCCAAAGGGGTCGCGACCCACAGGTTGAGAACCGCTGCTCTATAACTTAGCCCTGGCTTGTTTTTCCAGTTTTGACCCTCTCGACACCATTCCTTAAATTTATACTTCCTGCTCATCTCGCATGGGTGAATGACTCATTCTCACCTCCAGGCCAGGCCTTTACCCATGCCACCCCACCCCCAATACCCTCCAGATCTGGTCAGTCTGCTTATCATTCAGGGTCCAGGCAGAGGCCCACCTCCTCCAAGAGGTTACCTTAGTCCTCTGGGTTCCCCCTTCTTGTGTCTTTCCTGGGAGTCATGTCTGGGGGTCTGGGGAGGGGTGAGCATCTCTGTCACTAAGTGATCCAGGTCCAGTCAATGTATTTTACTGCATCTTCAAACTAGGGGCAAGTTGTCCTACTTATTAACACTGTAAAAAAACATTACATGAGCTGAGATGTGTAAAGGTTCTAGCCCAGAAAAGAGTCTCCCTTTCTTTTTTTCTTGCTCTGTAAAGAAAGTGACCAACATAAGGGTTATTGCAAGGAGTCTGAGCCCAGTTCACGAACCTCTTGGGTAATCCTGCACACCTGTCACCAGGTCAGTGCTAGGCTCTGCATTGCCTGGGTGGGACACAGGTACCCAGGAGGTATCTGTTACGGCCACTGGCCAGAGCTATTTGTTCTTCAGTGGAGACTATCTCAGACCCTGCAGTCAAGAGCCAACCCTGGCCTGGCACAGCTGCCATCTCTTGGGCTCCCAGATCTAGGCAGGACCTGCAGAGCACTCCTCTTGAGAAGTTATTTCTTAAATCTTACTTGGTCTCTCATACTGTAGCTCAATGGCTAGCGCCCCAGGAACATGCTCTATGTCTCCCCCAGCTCAGAGAGATTTGTTTGTGTCAGTCCTTCAGAGTCAAGCACTCCTCAGAGTGTTTGAGTCCTAACTCTGCCATAGACATGCTGTGTGATTCTGGGCAGGCCACTGCACCTCCCTGGAGCTAATTGTCCCCATCTGTGAAATGATAACACACTAGGTTCAATACACAAACTTCTTTCTTTTGATGCTTGGCGGGGTGCAGAGCCCTTTTACAAACATCCCCTTGTGTAATCCTTGAAATTCTCCAATGAGCCCCTTCCCAAAAGAGGCAGCCAGGCTCCTCGAGGTGGAAAGGTGACAGGCCTTGTCTGAGTTCTCATGGCCAGAAAGTGACCCTTGCTTCAAGACTAGGACTCCTCCGCTCCCCCAACTTTACAGTCTGTGACTCTGAGCTGAGTTCTCACCTCGGCTCATGCCTTGGACAACCCCCGCCAATCCCAGATAGTGTAAAGTGTTCCCAGGTGATTCTAATCTGTTGCTAGGTTTAAAATCCTGAATTAGATGCACCTTGTCCCTGGTTGACCTTAGTCCCATGAAATCAAGGGTCAGGGGGCCGGCTGAGTGGCGCGATGGTTAAGAACTGGCTTGGGATGCCAGAGGGCTCTGGTTCGGATCCCACATATGAGGGCCAGTGACACTGCCCTCCACAGCTAAGATGCTGAACAACAGCTCGACCTGGAGCTGGGTTGCCCTGAGTCGCCGGGGACGGCGTAGGCTGCAGCCCCTGTGGCAGTGGCTTGCCATGGGCTACCGTGTGTAGCCAGCAGCCAGCGTGAGCGGCCAGCAGCCGCAGTGAGCGGCCGTCCAGAAGCCGGCAACTGATCTGCCTCGCCCGGGAAGAGCGCGATGATGGTGCCAACTTGGGCCAGTGAAGCAACGTCCTCCACAACTAGACTGAAGAACAAAACGACAGCAACTTGTCTGTTCCCCTTCCCCTAATTCCCCAGCACTGTTCCCTTCCCCCCAATACCCCAATAAAAATCTTAAAAAAAAAAAAAATCAAGGGTCAGGGCTGACCCCTGAGGGCTGAGTGTGCACATCTGGGCTGTGGGCCTTGTGTTTGAGGGGCTTTAACATTTATTAAGCACTTACTATGCCTCACATTTCATCTTAACAGCAGTATAAGGTAGGATCTATTATTAAGCACATTTTATAGGTAAGGAAAACTGAGGCACATAGAGGCTAAGTAACTTGTCCACAGTCACAAAGCTAGTAAGTAGTGGAGTCAAAATTCAAACCTAGGCTGTCTGGCTCCAATCTGTGCCTTAAATTCATGCTCCATCTCTTGAGGAAAGGCAGGTAAGAAAAACAGATTTTTCTACTTCTTTTCTGCCCAACAATGCAGTGACTGAGAGTCTTCCACCCCAAGTCCCTGAGCCCTCTGCCCACCTCTGCCACAAGAGTGGCTGGCCCAGCCCCTCTAGCCACCTCTTTTCATTTCCCCACTTTACGGGCAACTCTAAGCTGCCCAATGACCCAGCTACCTCAGAGTGGGTATTTTCAGAAAAGGTGACTCAGCCGAGGGCCTGGGTACTAGACCCACTTGACTTCAGGCCCTGTCCAGGAACTTCCCCCACCCCCCACCCCCCATGCCTAAAAATAATGACACCTCTGTGGGCCATTGCACTTACAAAGCACTTCCTCACCCAGGACTGGTGAGCAAACTTTCCTGCTAATCATCTCTCCATCTGGGAGTGTGGCACCAGCAGACCCTCAATAGACCCCAAATCTGTTCCCATCCCACATGACCATGTGTCCTGCTTCCATGAGCCTGGCTGGTGCCTGACATGCATCTATCCTGTTGCTACTAACCATGGTCAGACTCCTGGAAGCCTAAGTTCAAACCTGAGCCTGGTCCTGACATGCTGGGTGACCTCAGGCAAGGCTCTGACCTTCTCTGGCCTCAGACTTCTCAGCAGCTGTGAGGGTTGGCCTGGTTGTCTTTGAAGGCTCAGGCAGCTCAGGTGAAGGGAGGCAGTTTCCAGGTAGGCCTAGCTGGGCAGAAGACAGCTCTCCTCGGCACGCTAGGCCCAAGGACTGAGCAAGGACCAGATCCCAGTTGGAAGGCTCCTTAGGAAAAAGTGTGCATGACTCAGTCTCTCTATGACTTGGGGCAGAGCCCATGCTCTAAAAGAGGCCT